GTACAGTGAGAGGCATGTATTGGGGGTAAGAGCATCCTCCAGGACTCCGCTAATAGGTTGTGGAGAGCTGACAGACCTCATTCTCTACCTCCGCCCATTCCCTATCTGTGTTCCTTTTCTCCCCCCCCCCGTCTCTTTCTTGCTCACTCACCCTCTCTTGCCCTCTTTCTATTTATCTAGCTCAGTTTCTATGGGAGCAGCCAGCCAGAGGAGCCTTGAAGTCGATGGAAAGGAGGAAGTAAAGCCAGGTGTGCAAGGGAGGAACATGATGGGCCCCAAGGTTGGGCTGAGAGGTGAGGGACAGACACCGGAGTGTGTGACAAAAGGATGAGCTTCACTGCTAATGACTCCCACAGGGGAGACCAGCTGCTTGGTTTGCAAAGGCTTGACACATGCACGGCTACCAAGTAGGATTGCCACTGTTGTGTGAAGGGGCGTGCACACAAGAAGACAAACTTCACAAGACTTGGACATCGGAAAACAGGCACACACATAGTCACATATCACTGTTTATTTTGTGCATCCACATACACACTAATGACTTTCCTGAAAAACAATCCTTCCCTTTGTTCTTTTCAACCTACTTTTCCCATATTCAATATTCTTCAAAAAGTCTGGGAAATCCTCCGCCTGAGTAAGTGATGTCCTCAATTTGCACTCTGGTGTCATGAGACTTGATGCAGTGTTGCTTATGAATTCAGATGTAACATTCTATTTTCTCAGCAGTTTTTTGTCCGTGAATAGAAAAGGGATGTTTGGGCACAATAAAGTGTAATCAATAATACATTGGACAGTCGTCTGTGTGATAGCGGGAGATTTCTAACAACCTCCCCAAATGCTGGAACATAGAGGAGGCTCTATTGAATGGCAATGCATGTGAGCCCTCTAGTGTTAAGCTGTCTAGTTTCATGTACTTGGAGGATGAGAAAATAAAAGCTGCTAAGAAGGGCTTAGTGCCACACTCATGGGCTTTTTTTAATACATTTACATGCATGTGTTTAAATGAAGAGTGTCCCATACAATCCCTGTAGATGTTACTTTCTTCAATGCTAGACACAATTTGCAGAACGAAATTTTAGTCATCTAGGATGATATTTTTTTAATTGAAACCTCAAGGCAAAAAAACACATATTTCCTTCCATTCATTCAGCACTCTGAGAAGGACGCTTGAAATGGCACAACGTCCATGACGTTCAATATACAAATCACCATTGAGGTGGCATTTTCTGCAGATTTTCAAGGGAGCGAATTATTCTCCGCTTTGGAAGGCTTGAAAAACCTTTAAAGGGCCGCACTCTATCTGGTGAATAATGTGATATTAAATAGATGTGACATTTTAAAAGAGGCTTTAAAATCTGAGCATTGATCAAATGCAGGGTGACAAGCATCATAGCTCAGTTAATGGCTCTCTCCACGAGACTTTCTAAAGGTTCACTTATGAACTGATGATATTTCATGGCAAGCTGCCATGGATTTCTCTATATCTTCACTCACATGAAGAATTAGTGGACCCTAATTTAGCTATTTATTGTCGTGTTTGTGTTGCGGGAACATGAGCAATGGCCCAACACATTGTAAACAAATCACCCTTGCCCTTATTGCTAAGGGTCAAAGCAATGTATCAACGATCCCATAGCTAATGTCCTCTCTGAGAAAACAGTTTACTCTATAATAATGGGCTTATGATGGATCTGACTGCTGTGATTATTCAAAGGGAAGCTCTTCAAAAGAGGAGGCATGAACTATTATCTTGATGTTAAACAACTGACCTTGGTTTCACGCACTTAAGTGTCCACCCTACATAATAAAGTTACCTGTTGTTTTGTGCAGCACTTACCATCTTTGCATTCATCTGATTAATGTGTTGATTCAACACATTTTACTGGTATTTGAATGAATCAATCAAAGTACAAGCTGTGCTCCAGTAACAATTAAGGCATTCTGGGCAAGGTGGCACAGAGATAAAAAAATAAAAAAGATGAATAAATAAATAAATAACTTTTCAAAATTAAGTTTAAAAAAGTGTTTTAAAATTCAAACAAGCACAAAAAAAATAGTGAAATCAAACACAGAAATTGACAAATAATGAAACAATTAATTATACAGATAAAATTATGTTTGAAATAAACACAAAATACTTCGGCCACAAACAAAGTACATCACCCAGGGAATACCAAGGCTGCACCCATACGTGCCAGCTAGGCAGCGACAACGCCAAGACCGCCCACCACACCACACCACACGGTCCTCATCAGTCCCCCAACCCAACTATGTAGATCTAGGCTCATTGGCAGCTAGAGCCAGGACACCATGCTGTCAAACGGGAACCCCTTTACCCCACTGGTGCCCTATCCCGTCTGTCACACTACACTCCAGGAAGGCCAGACAGTGAGCCCTGGCTTCCCAAACCCAATCTCCTCCACACCATTACCGTCAACCATTCACATTTGAAAAGAGAAAAGAGAAAACAGAGATGCTGCTATGAATTTACACAGAATAACAGGACCAAATATTTATGATATGTCCCTCATGTAAAAGGTGCGGTTAAAGAAATTGTGGCGAGTAAGATAAAAACATCTAGGTAAGAGATCAGAGGATTGTAAATCTGTTATTCCTACAGGCTAACTATGAAGCTACAGCCAGCAGCTTGCTAGCTTAACATAAATGCAGGAAACAGAAAAAAACAGCTCTCTATTGTCTCTATCTTAGATTTAAATATACCTATTAGCTCCCGTATGATCACTTGTTTCCCCACACGTTTAAAGCTTTATACTTAGTTAACCTTGTGGGCTGCTGTGTTTCCTTGCAGCATACAGTGCCACCTTCTCATTTTACTCTTGGCACTAAAGTAATAACAAAAATATGGAATAGTTAGTTATAGACTGAGTCAGTTGAGAATGATATATTATTTAAGTCTCATTTAGAGACGTATTTTATCAGAGTAAAAAGATTTGTGTAGCTAGGGCTACATGTTGAATGTTTGCTAACTCATGCAGAAGAAAAATCCATTTTTTCCATGTCATGCTGCATTATTTCAACTCCTATCCCAAAATGTTTAAAGAGGACATGGTTATGTTCCAAATTTGGTTTGTCAGATTATCATTTTAAATGTAACTTGTTGCTCACTGATGTCAAATAATGTTAACATCAGAGTTCAAGTTATTCTACCATGTTTCACGCTACAGTTGGTAGAACATTTTACAACAAGGCCGTTTTGGCAGACATTCTTACAAATATTCTCATGAGCGTGCCATTGTGTTTGCACACATGCACTGATCCCCCCCCCCCACATGGCTTTATGCGCACATGCATAAAGCCATGTGGGGGGGAGGGGGGGATCAGTCCTAGTTAGAAAAGCAGCATTTACAAGAGTGATCCCACCGAAACCTGATCATTAATCTATGTTTATGAGAATGTATAGATGTGCATGTATAGATTAGCTAGTACCTGCCTGCAAAAATTTGTTTTTCTCTGTGCATAGACTGAGCTTTTTTTTTACTGCAGTCAGTATAAATGAGTTTAAGAACAGGAATTGATGGATTGGACAAAAGGTCAGAATACAAGGTCATGCTGGAAGTGTGTCGGAAAAAGACAGTTTCACCTCTCAATGTCTCTGCTGCTGACATACAAATCGATCAATATGACAGAATGCTAAAATGCATGATTAATCAGGGTCTCCCACATAACAAGGATGCAGACAATTTATTATGTTTTTTAATACAATTTTAAGATTGAAGGGTTGTTAAATTAAATCCAATATGACCAGTGTATGCAAAATATATTGCATTTTTGGATAAATAGGATTGACTAGGAATGATTGACTTTTACATTAAAGATAGATAGATAGATTTACTTTATTGATCCCAAACTGGGAAATTGTGGCATTACAGCAGCAGGTTATCAAACACACAATATTAGCAAATAAAACAAATTGATATTAAATACAAAGCAAATAAGCACTAAAACCAAGAAGAAATATATACATCCAAGATTTAACTCAACATAACTTCTAGTTTAAAATATGAAAAATTAATTTTAAAAAATGGACTTCCATGCAGGAAGACAACACTTAAAATATCTGTTTATAGAACAGTATTGTGGACCCTTCATGTTCATCTATTTTTGATCCCTGTCTGAAGTTCCTGGTTGGAGGTGTTTCTTGTGGGGTTTGAAGTTTTAAGCTCCGATCGTGTTGGCATCCATCTAAAGAGCTGGCCAACTGACCACAATTAGTGGCATGTCCAGACCTCCTGCTCTGATTAGTTGGCTGGCAAATAAAACATTTTGTGTGTGCTAAAAAGCCTAATGAGAGACACCGAGGAAAACTGCAATGTGTGGGAGGAGAGAGGGCAACTTGAAATGGGAGGAAATAATCCCCAACTGTGAAATCAACCAATCTTTTGATAATCTGAATTTTGAAAGGAGATGCCCTCCCGTGCAATATATCTTCATATCAAATGTGGAGGCTCTCGTGCAGTTTTTGTAAAATAAAATGGAGAATTCTGCAGCTAGCTGAGTGTGTTTGACTCTCTGGATAGTTTGTCTGGCCAGGCTGTGTTGTGTGAGCATTGTCCTAGAGCTGCTGTGGGCCTCTGCTGCCCACATCTTTCTCCATTGAGACAGGCCTCCTCTTTGCTTCCTTGGACCGTTGCTGGCAGCCGGTCTGAGCGCTCAGTGAATGTGGAGAGAGACATAACAGGCAGCAATTCCCCAACTCCCACCAGGAAAGTCACTCTAAGATTAATGAGTGTTGTGATGTCTGCCGGCTACATGCTTGGCCATCAAAAACTTGTAGCAATGGGCAAGAGATAACTTCAGGGGATGTGTAGGGGTTTGTTGAAGTTTTTTGGATGGACTTTTTCAAGCAGTGTGTACTTTTTCCATTCCCTATTTGGTTATCATTAAAACAAATGTGTTTTAGTCACATAATGTCAATAATATATTGAAGAACAGTGACAACCAGGGTCAGTTGGAGGACACAATATCTCAGCAAAAGCCTAACACAGGGCAGATGGGGTAAAGAAATAATGAGCAGGCTGAATTTGCTAGAAGAACAGGGATGTCATTGATCAGTTTGTTGGTTTATTTCTTTCCCTGAAACAATCTTGTAGATATGACTTTTCTTTTTTGTATTCCTCATTAGGGAATCAAGGCAAAAGAAACACATTTCCTTTTCACAAGAAGTCACCCAACAGACAAGTCTCTGGCAGGAAATTAAATAAATATGAAGGAGTGGCAGCAGTGAGTGGCTAAGTTGACATTTACTGTCATTTGAGTTTGTAGTGCCGAGTGCATTTCTGTCATCTTTTCATACGCAATCTTTGTCTTTTCTTCCACAGTGATCTCTCACGTTCAACTTTACATGCCGCATGTAGATGTCCGTGACCTTTTGCTTTCCTGGATGAAAAATAATGATAGAAGAAAGGAAAGAAAACTCATTGAAGAACACAGGTGCAGCACAAATAAGCAGGACTGGGAAATATACCGGGGCTGGTGCCAGCTGTGACTATTTCTAAATGCAGCCAAAATAGGTGGAAAAAAGTACTTTTTATATAGTGGAATTTAGCTGCCTAACTGGGATACAATTTACTTAATGTGGACTCATGAATTTGAAAACAGTGAAAAAAGTCCTTAAAGAGGCCATCTACATGAATTATGTGAATTTGAGTCTCTCCACATCTGCATAACTGTGCCCTCTCACACACCTGCTCGCTGTTCAGTCTGCAGGTTTGAAGCACACTGTGAACCCTTTCGCTCTCCTCCAGAAAACATCCAGAGTTCCCCTCGATCAAGGGCATAATGGTGCGATCGGTCGACTGATAATGTTGGTGGGATCCACAGGTCGGCCGGCCCGGCGCCAGAGCAGAACAGCCTCTCTCATGGCCCATTACTGTCTGCTTAATGACCACACTGATGACCCAAACTCTGCAGCAGGCTGTCCTCACTCTGCCTGTTTAAAACAACATTTCACTCCCTGGGCAGACACAAAATGGTGAATTTGGTTTGTTCCGTTCAGCTGCTATCACAGTATTCTAAAACCCCATATTCCTTTTTTTTTTCCCACGTACAAACTTATTTGTATAATTGTAGGAAGCAACAAGTGACTATTGCTGCTCAAAAAGCAATTTGGATATGTACATATGTGTGATTTTATGTTAATGCCATGTTATATATGAATGCAACAAGGCAGGACTCGCACACAGAGAACAAAGCAGTACAGACTGGAGGCTTGACTGAAATATTCAAATCATAATAGGGCATAAAGGTACAATATTTGGAATTTTATGAGAATGTTTACATTAAAATATGGACAGTAAATTAATTTAAAATGGACTAAACCTATTTCAGTAATTACATTACCTCAAATATTTCCAACAGTTATCAAAGCCAGAGAAATACTTAATTTTAAAGTCTCAACATGTTGCCAAGGAAACACCTGATGTTACAGCAAAGACCGCTGCATGGAAGTGGGAATTGCTACTGAAAGCTGCCGTAATGGTGCTTCTTGAGAGCCAGCTTTTGGTGGAAATCACATACTGTGCATTTAACAGACAAAAACATATCTTGCAAGCATTTCAGAAGATCTTAAACTTTTTTCACTGCAAAGAGAAGCATGCATGGAACCCACCTGCAATCAGTGTCTGTCGACAATATTTGTTTCTAGGATTTGATGCCAATTTCTACGTAATTCTGGTGAAGCCATTGGTAAATGACTTCCAGGCAAGACTTCCTTCTCCATGAGGTGTTCACATCTGAAACGTTAGTGGCATCACCCTGGCTCACTTACCTGGAAAAAAAAAACATTTCTTGCAACATCATGATGCTGATTGGTAAGAAGTAAAACACCAATCTTAGTCAGGTCTGTTCTCAAGGAGGAGAAGAAAACAACTTTGAGTGTGTTTCTTTGTTGAATAGAGGTCTCATGAATCACTCCTGAAGCGTTTCAGGTAATAAGAGAATCTAAACGCTGATTGGCTTTTGTGACATAATGTCAAGCAAATGTGTGGTGCAAAGTGAAATGTTTGAAAGTTAAGTGATTGTTAGCTGCACTTTTTTGCAGATCTATTTATAGAGAGAAATAATTCAATGTTAGAAAAGAGAGTTTTTTTGTCCTGCATTCACCAAAGCTTGCTGATACGCAGTCGATCAATACAGCTCTTACTACAAATGGAAACAAGAGCACATATCATGCTGACACGTGACTTGACAAGAAAGTGCCATAGTGTTGGAAGGCTGCACTGCACAGGTGCTCAATTAAGTCCCTAATCAGTGATCAGATGCACCTGTGGAGTAACCCACATGTAGAAGAACTTTACATGCACGCTTCACTTTGCACTGAAGAAGGTCCATGGTTGACTGAAATGTCTGAAATATATATATTTTTTTGTCAGGGGAGCCCTGTTATGATGCAAAATGAGTATATCATTCAAAACTCTACCGAAGTGCTTCAGAAGAAGACAAACATGGAGGACAATCTTGGTTGTCGGCTGGCTGTCCAGCTGTATGTTCTGTTTTGCAGCACAAAAACTGAAAATGAGAAAAACAATATGGATGCAATCCTGGCTGAGAAGACAGATTTAGTGCGTCTTTGTACAATTTGCATCGCGATCTGAGGGTGAGTTGCCTGAACAATATAAAAGAAAGCTATCAACTCAAAAATAAAGAGCTCCACCATCTCTCCAAAATACAAATTCACACTATTGGAAAGGAAAACAAATCCAGATACTTTGAATATGGGCAAAAATGAAATAAAATCCATTGCTTAATTTGAACGTTATTTTTTTTAACTGAAAAGAAAGTCATCATCGGTTAATATCTTTTAAGTGTTAAACCCTTCAAAAAAGACCCATACTAACAATGTACAGACTCAGTGACCATAAATTAAAAATTAAACATAGGCTGTCATAAAAATTGGAGAAGAAGTAGAAACAGAGGTTCACTTTCTCGTCTGCCTGCTGTATGAAGCTGTCAGAATGAGCTTCCTTGACCAGGTAACATCAGCAGAGCCACACAAGGATGTAAGAAGGACCATAATTTATGCTTTCAGCTGCACAATTGTAAATGATCGCCACTTTTTAAGAAAAACAGGTAGTTAGTTCACTCTAGTTATTTTAGTAATAATATAATTGTAATTGATTTTATTATATTGAATGTATTTTTGCATAGATGTATCTACTCAAAATGAATATAATAATATATAACATAATTGTCAAATGTTTTATATGTTATATTTTTGTTGATTGTTTTGATAATTTTTGCTCTGGTAATAACGGTTGTTAGCATTCATGCCAATAAAGCATCCTGAACTATGAACCATGTCAGAGTATGCAACATCAGGCTACCGAGTGTGCGCACTCTGATTGGCTGCTGTGGGTATTCTGTCGGAGGCAGTCCAACCATGTATAGATTTATGATTGTTTTTTTTGTTTTTTTTACTCACCTCACTTCTGCTGCTCATTTCTAGCTGGCCATGCCCATCTAATGAGCAAACTCAGTTCACATGTACGTATATGCAGCTGCTTCCTACTGTATGTCCAATCAAGCCAGTATTCTCTTTGCCAGATTTTCCCCAACATCCACATTCAAGACTTTCCAGCGTTTGTCTTTTGACTCGACCCTGCCTGCCCTTGTCAAGTTTGTCCATGTCATAATCCTGGAAATCACCTCATCCTCTGTCCCAGCCATGAGTCTCATGTGCTGTATGGTGCTCCCCATGAGAGCATTTTGAGTGAGTAACCATATTTCCCTAAAACCTGTATCTCTGTGTGAACACTTACCTGCTGGCCCACTGACCCTTCTGCCTGCTCCTGCCTCACTTTCTTCCTCATACCCTCTCCGGACTGTTTGTTGTACAGGTCCCTTACCTTGCTCTGGGACAGCAGCCAACTGCACTGTCGCAAGAGTCTTTTGTCAAACCTGGAAACTGAATCTGAATTTCTCATCTATTTATTCCTGTACTTGCTGAACTTAAAATAAAATACAAATATTATGGCTCTGTGGCCTACATGGGCTTTCTCACACTAATATCTGATTTCCCTGATAAAATGACTATGTTGATTAATAAGTCCCTGAGTCTTCTGGCCAATTACCTATGATCTTTGATTCTTGAGGCCCGGAAGAGCATATCAGGAAAAAGAGTTTCTATCACGTTCAATCCCATTTCCCGTCTCAATATGCTGCTGTCAACCTTAAATGACATAAGTGGTTGTTTAGGTTCCAATGACTTCCATCAGATAAAGTCAATGGCAGCTAAAGTGCGCTGTCCCTTGAATGAGGTTTTAAGGCCCTTGGATCTGAACTGATGCTAATTCTGCTTCTTGGGAGGACATTCTGCTCTATTCCTACACAGGCAGTCATTTTTCCCAACCACACACTGTCACTTCTACTGCTGCCCCGCTGATATGATGTCGCAGAGACATCAATGTCAAACTGCTGGCTGTCTTCGTGTGTGCGCACCAGATTACAGTGAACACTCTGATCTCTTGACAGAGGCGGCTTCACTCAGTCAAGGCAGCAAATACAGACATAAATGCATGCACGACTGACGGATGTATGTTGATACTGTGTGTGCATTTCCAGACTTGGTATACACACATATATATACATATATATATCCAAAATGGATGGTCATGGAGAGTGATGTACTCTGAGCACATCCTTCATGTCTGTGGAGACAGCTGTATTTCAGATAGTAGAGAGCAGAATGATATCAAGTCATTATGTCTAGGATGTGGGGGCTGACTGAGGCGCAGAGGATGTTAATAAAACATGCTGGATGTTTTCACACAGATTGGAATATGGCTTCATGTTGCATTTCAGACTCTGAAATCATAATTTCAAGAACAGTCCAATAACATGACGTGACTTGTTAATTACTGGTGTTTCTTGGCATTCAATTGGAAAAAGAAATACAGTTTTTTTGTGACCCATATGTATTTTACCAGAATATTTCTTTCATTGGCTTTTAATCATCTTTTAAAATTATTACCTTAATTTGGAGGATGCAACAGTAGAGTGATCCTCAGATATGAATTCAATTCACTCTCTCTTGAAACGTTTCCAGTTTTTTCCTCACTCTTTATCTCCCTGTCCCGCCTTCCTCCCTCTCTCATTCCAGGTCCGTCATGATATGCAGTCATGTTGTACGATGACTGGAAATGACGGATGATCACTCGGAATGAGTAATACAATCAGAGCTATGGGGCATTGAAGTGGAAAGAGAGGGGGGTGGGGGGTAGATCAGTCTGAGATATGGGACTGAATCTGGGTGTCTTAATTTAGTGGGCCATAATTAAAAATCTGTTTCCCTTTTTTTTTTTTTCCTCTCCCTGCTCTGCGGTCCCGCCTCCCCTTGACAATTAAAGATTTAATCACCATCTGCAAAATAGGGGGGCCGGGAAAGTAGGTTTGACCCAAAACTTAAAATTCAAACGATGCTGTTGAGGGATAACTTTCGGTTGGACTTGGACACTGTTCATTTGCTGTCCCTTCTCATCCGAATGGGAATTTGTTTACTGACAAAATTACTGGCGAAATGAGCTGCTGGAAGCTAACATCTGTGACAGCTCTTCATGTTTTAATTTGGTTACTTCCCGATGATAAGAGCATGATTTAAGACTTGTTAAAAAACTTGGAAAAACAATTAACTATTAAGCAATGACAATTAAACCTGTGATTCACGTACATATTTATAGTAAAACAATTATGTAATAGCTCTCTATTGAGAGTTAAGTCATAAAAGCCTGACATCATTCTTAATTTAAGGCTTACAAGCACATTCTGTGTCCAACAAAACAATCTGTCCACAAGCCCAACAACTAGAATATGAAATATGCTTAGTGTAGTTCGCACTGGGAACGCTGTGTTCCACATCCTGCTCCAAGTTTATTTTTTATTTTTCTAAAACATCTAGTCGCTGAGTGCAAACCTGAAAACTTAACAACACACCAACACAGACTTTTTCAATCTCAGGTTTTCATGCAGATAATGATCATGTCGTTTGACAGAAGTCTTTCTATCAAAATACATAAGAGCTTTATTATGTGTAGAGTATTGGAAGGGAAATCTGTTTCTTTCAGTCAGACATCTTCATCTCATTGTGTCTTAATCTCAAGTACTTGTTTCAGTATGATCAACCTCCTGCTGTCTGTGTGTGTGTGTGTGTGTGTGTGTGTGTGTGTGTGTGTGTGTGTGTGTGTGTGTGTGTGTGTGTGTGTGTGTGTGTGTGTGTGTGTGTGTGTGTGTGTGTGTGTGTGTGTGTGTGTGTGTGTGTGTGTGTGTGTGTGTGTGTGTGTGTGTGTTTAATCTTTTTGGCAATTACATTTCCAAGGAGGAAATGGCTCTTCTGGATAAACATGTACAACAACACAGCAGGAATCTTTTTAGTTTGAAAATCCTGTGATAGTACTTTGTATCCCTTAGCAGTGCTTCTGTATGATTGCTAAGAAAATAAAAGAAGAAAGCAAAGTATGTTTCTGATGTTTGTAGGCAGTAGATTAGATGAAGTAAGAGCAACAAAGGGAGTTTTGAACATGTACTGTCTTCTGCAGGGTTTTACTGGGAGAACACAGTTGTGATTTTTCTGTGCAAATAGATACATTTTAGAATCAAGTGTTGATTATTATTATTATTATTTTCCCCAAAAACGGGGGTTTAAAACTATGATCTTTGTCCCCTTTATTTGTTGTTGTCTCAGCATTAAACTGATTCAGATGCTCCACCACTAGGATTCAAACTGAAATATACGACTGGATGGGTTGTGAGAGAAAAAGCTGTCCCTAGTCCCAAAAGGATGAATTGAACCAACGTTGATAAAACCTTGACTCCTGAAACCACAATGATTGACACATTTTCATTTTTAGTCAAAGTTCAACAACTATATAATTTGATAAAAAATTTGATGCAAATAGCCATAATGCCCAGTTTGTACCTTTACAGCAACCAGCAGGTACTGTAGATGTAGATAGTCATGTGTCAAGGGATTTGCCTTCAAGTTGAATAATAAACAAATTAGCTTCAGCATTCTGACAAAATCATAATTTTCAGGGAGGTTTTGGAACGTTTCAACGTACCTGATAAGATTTGCTTCACAATATAATACACATGTTAAGACTCAAACTTTTCTTACTGTGGCATTGTGGGAAACGTATGTATTATTTATCAAGTTAGTGGATGACAAACTGGGATTATCATGGTCAATTTGAGAAAATGTGCTA